AAGAGTGTGTATGGATAACTGAGCCACGAGTGAATGGATTTTATTCTGCATCTATCTGCTCAGAAACTTTCTTGAAGACTAGTATTCCTTAATGAAGGAAAGAGCTTCAATTGTTTTCAAGATATAAATATAGAAAGATTTTTTTCTCACATTTTCTAGAGATTTCCTAGAGGGATTTTTTGTTGTATCTGTACATTAGAAATTCGACACACTCACGTGCGGTCAACTTTGAAGTTCTATTTTTCTTCTCGGACACTCAATAATGAGAAATTTGGAACTGAGGAATTGAGATGTGAGCAGTAAATTTGAAAGTTAATCCTTAACTCTGTCTTCTTATTTCTTAAGATATGTCCTTTCCATGTATAAATGTAATTCTCAAGTACATCTATACAAAGTATACTTTGCTACCAAATGGAATTTTTTTTAACAAGAATCTACTGCCCATTGCTCTTACTATACATAAAGACATGAAGTCCTTAGAACTACCCTGTTCTGAAGATCTTATTCAGGCTTTAATCAAATTCAGCATGAATAGTGAGGCAGTAGTGTCAGTTAATTCATCATATTGAGAGGAAATCATACTTTGAAGCACAGAGTGGCAAAGACAGGGATGAACTTTTATAATAATTCTGCTTTTCTGATGTAACAGTGCTTAGTCTTGACAACAGAGTGCAACTGATTGTGAGCTTTAAATACTTAAATCCAAAGATGCTACACTCTGCTCTGTACTCCGTCCTGCAGTTCTGAGCCTCACATTTTACTACTTTCTAAATTCATTGGAATAGTTAGGGTCATCAAGGTAACAGATCACAAGGCAAGAAGTTAATATTTTCAGTATCGTTGTCCATTCGGTATTTACAAGACAGCTTCTGTGGATGAGACACCTCAGACAGCTCTGGGCAGTGAGAAGAAAGTTGTGGGGTAGCAGTAAGCACAAGCACACACACACACACTGGTAGCCACTCTCCACAGAGTAATCAGCAGCCTTTTTCCCTATGCAGAATGCTAATAGCATCATTTGTTTTCTGCTGAATATCTCAGGCAGAAGCTGCAGAAAATGGGGATTTGATGCTAGTACAAATGTCAAAGGAATCATATTATGATCTAAACCAGAGTTGTATTAGTTATCAGAAAAGCGAAAGTAGCTTCATAGGTCAAGGGGCAAAAAAATAGCCCTTAATTTGTACCCCATTCTGGTCATTAAGATTTCCGTCACATACACCAGTGACTAAAGCAGCAACTTGATTATCCCTGTTCTTGGTGACAACACTTCCAGCTGCTCTGAGTTTCCTTCCCTGCATACAAATTCACATATGCAAAATACTTAGTATTCCCAGAGGACAGTTTCAGGATTGCAAAAGATAAATGAACTATTGGGATCGTCTTTTGACTGGTATCACTCGAGTAGTGCTCCTTCTCTTTAGCTTGAGAGACTAAAGTACAAGCATTCAAGGATAATCACGCACATGTGTCAAGGGGTTTGTACAAGGAGGTTTTGTTCATTTTTGCTAGGGTGGGAACAAATTTGACTTGTTTACTGTTTGACTCCTATTGTTTCATCACCACTGGGATACGGAATGTTTGTAACATTTATGTTCTCCTTTGAGATCTGCAGCACTGGAGCTATCTAGAGTGGACAGGAATGGCAAATCAGGCGCATAGCTATAGTTCCAATGCTGTTTCCACTATAACTTTGGTACATTTCTGTTTGTTCTAGGCATATTTTAGGCAATCCAAGAACTTAGTTTGAAACCTTTGGTTTAGTACAATGAGACTTTTAAAGGGATCTTGGTTAATTCTAATGTGCATCCTCAACACTTCTAATTCTGAAAGAAAAGGCAACTTCCCAGTTCCAATATTTATACTATTGTAACTGCATTACAGCACAGAGGAAAGAATCATTTCCTTTATGATAAAAGTATCCTTTAAATTCCCCATTCCCCTCTTGTCAGGACATACCTGATGAGGAATATATTGTGGTTACTGTGTTCACATCAGCTTCCATTATGGATGCGCAACTGGATTCAGTCAAGGAGCCTTTGACAGTCACAGGAGCAATGCTGGGATGGCGTAAGGCAGCTTTCAGGGGAGCAATGTGGTTGTACTGAACAGAGGACAGGCAGCCAGTGAAACCATAGGCATTTGCCTTTGAGACTTCAGGGTCCAGTGACAAACTATCTGCAGGACAACAGAAAAACACTCTGGGAATTAACCTGTTTTACAAAGATGTTAAAAAAATTAATCTTTTTTTTCCTTATCCATCTCATCCACTTCTCATCCAGTCTCAACTGTTCAGGTTGTCCTTCAGCAGTTTACAAGTTCTCCCTGGCCTGATCCATGCAGTTCCCATCCCAAGTCCTTCCTCTAAAATGCTACTTACATTGCATATCTAGTTGGCTTGGACATAAAAAGCCTGCACTGTCCTTTTTTCCTTATCCCTTTTGTCTACTGTCTGGACAATATCTAACACATCACAGATGCTAACTATGGCAACAACAATAATAATAATAGACAGTAATGATTTCAGCACGAATATTGCAGGATCCTCAGGATGATGCTCTAACTTTTTTGCATCTGTTAACGACATCAGTTTCAGAGAAATGGAGCATATCTTCAAGGCATTCACTTCTTCCACCCTTTTAATGAAGGTGCCTGCTCTCTATTGTTTATTATACAATACTTCACGTGGCCTAATATTGAATGGCTTGCTGATATAGGCTTTCCCTGTTCTTCAAGAGTATATTTTTAAATTTGCTTTTCTGATGCACCTAATCATATTACTACATTTTAAAATAAGAGTTCCTAAGAATCCTCCTAAGCCAGGCTCTCACTCTGGTAGCCCTATTCCACTAATAAAATTAAAACTATACCTCTTTTTACCTAAATCAAAGCCAAACCAAATCTCTCCATGCTCTTTTCCAGCCTGAAGATGAGACAGCACTACTAATTTTTCTTTTTGTCTGTGTTCATTTAAATTTCACAAAGAGAAACACAATTCAAAGGTAAATGTTGTGGGTTTTTTTAGTTCCAAAAGTTCTAATATCAAAGATTGTTTTGGAAAGTCAGTGAAGGACAGTGAAGCCATCTTGTCTTTCCTCCAAGCACTCATTTATTTACTTTCTAGAAATTGAAATTCATAGTGCTCAGAGGTCTGTAACACAATGCACCTTATATCTAGGCCAATCAAACAAGAAAAAAAAAAAAACAACAAAACCAAACACACCAAACAAAAACCAAACAGAAATGCACACACACATAGTATCAAAACTTATTCAAAGTCTTAAAAATTCCCTGCCAATAAAAACAAAAACTTCTAGCATTGAATCTTTTGGAAACACTCCCACTGACACTGGAAAATAAGGATTGCCAGCTTTTCAAGTTTGTTTTCAAAGCCTGAAAGAACAAGATGGTAAACTTTAAAATAAGGTCCAATTTTTTCCACTACTGTTCAAATACAATGATTTTACAAGCTTTCAGCCAAAAGGATTTAGGAAAAAAGTAGATCTTCTCTTATAACTGACATTGCTACCTGAATAAAAGCATAATTCTTTTACATATAAGAAGATACAGACAAATCTCAAAACTAGCACAAAGCACACATTATTTTGATGCTCAAGATCCATGACTGTTACATCATACAGGCTGAGGGGATTAGCTGAGAATAATTTCTAGTTCTGTTTGAATGTCTTTATGGAAGTATAATGTGGAAGACTTTGGCTGCTTCTCAAAGCAAGGTATGGTGTGGGATTGCTTTCCAAGGGGTCTTACAGGAAAGATGCTCAGTTTACAGAACTGTCACGAGGACAGCCTCTGGGCTGTGAGTAACTGCAAAAAAGAGAGAAGGGAAGAGAAACAATGAAGCTTTGCCACCAGAAAAACTGTAGCCTTACATCTGCTCTTCTCAAAGTGTATAGGAAGTGGCTGCATTCAGGCTTTTAATGAAATTTTGGCAGGGATGTTATAAAACAAAGAACTGTTTCCAAGTTTCTGCAAGAAGGCTTATCTAAAAGACTGATTTACAGTATTTGCCATCTTTGTTGAATTTATAAACCCCTTTGTAAGCATTCCTACTCTCAGTCTTTCTTGTCTTCTTAGCTCTGACACAAAAGGTGGATTTGTTGGTATCTTTCAGACATCAGGCAATCTAAATTGCTCTGTTCTTCCTCAATGTGCAAAAGGTAAATCCTAAGGCATAATTAATTCCTTTTTCATGGTACAATAGTTTGAAAAGTTTAAGATGTAGTACTGTTGAAGGCTTTTTTAAAAAGCCAAATTAAGGGCTAATTTCAGGAGTCTTTTGTCAAAGTAAGCTTTGCATGAATGAGAACTAGGAGATTTTTTTTTTGTTGAAAGCCTTTGAAATTTGAGATAAAGAAATCAAAGAACAAACTAAAAACAACCACAGATTCCTCTAGCAAAAACGACACGTGCATAGAAACATTTTGCATTCTTATATGGCTTGATCTGCTTTCCTTTCAGAAGGGGAGGCTTTCACTGTTCTCAAAAAAAGACCTGCGCAGCTTGGATATGAACAAGTTATGCTACCCTCTGAATTCTTGAGCAGATGATGTAAAACTGTGATTATGACATGGTTACTCCTATGAAAGCCTTATTAAAGGCTACTCTGTCACTTGAAGTCTTTAAGTCATGATAAAATGTTTTTCCAAAAGTTATTTTCGCTACATGACATGGTGCTCAGTAAAAGAAACAACTTCATGAAGTTCCAAGGTTTGTGTTGAAGCAAGGTCATATAAAACATCAGTGGCCTCCTTCTGATCTGTGAATCTTTCCACGCATTTGACTGGCCTAAAAAATCATACTGAATTGCTGCTGATGGCTTGGTTTGATCTGATGTTTTAACACTGAGTTTCTGTTCTTGGTACTGGAGACCGAGTTACTTTTGATGATTTCTGTAGGGGGAGTGACAAGGCAATCTTTTAGAGCTTTTGAGTAATTTAACTGTTCACTCACCACAACTTAAGTTTACCCATATTTTAGGAAGTAATTTTTAATCTTTGCTGAATTATGTATGGGTTGGTCTGGCTTCTTGCTGGGTCCTCTAGCTGCTTCCTGGAAGCTGTCTGCAATATCACAGCTCAGCAACTTTTGTGTTGGTTTTGCTTCCCAGTTTTCCATGTATTTGCAGTCTAACATGTACTTCTATTTTTTAAACTTTATTGATTGTATCAACATATTATATCTGCTGATTGATTCCTATTCACCAAAACAGACATCCTGTTCTGTTGCTATTTCTTTGTGCACCTCTGCGACATAAAACACACTGTTTTTAAGATCTTAAATAAATAAAGCAATTTTAAGTTTTTATATATTAGTAATGGGGAATTAATTTTCACCGCAAAGAGAATTCTGCCAGAATTCTCTAGGGCCAAGTATTAAGCTTCTCAGCAATATGTCAGTGAATTGACATAGTAAATAATAACTAATATCACAGGTAAACTGGAATCAAAGAGAAAACAAAAGTGTTATTTTTGTGCAGAGGGAGTGGTTCAAACGGCTTTCTTTCTAAATATATCACTGTGGGAAACTGGACTATAAACATTATCTATTTTTTTTTTTTCTTTCTTTGTAAACATTAATCTGAGCCCAAGGTTTACTTGTGTGCTCCCTTACACCCAGGAAGGCCCATCATGGATTTCCTGAATGGAAATTTATTTTTAATGTCAGTGAAAGGAGACAGAGCCTTTTTTAAGTGTCTATGCCCTAACTAATTAATCTAAGTGAATTGCTCAGAGAAGCACAAAGGGTAATTTACTCTATATGCTGAAGCACTGCCTGTCCTTTTGAGTCTGAGAAAGAGAAAGATGATTTTTGTGGGAGTTCAAGTATATCCATCACCTCATTTTGCCAAGGTGCTGAACTGCACTGGCAAGATTATATCTTGGACTTTGTCAGTAGATTTGAGCCCATAACCTTGAAGTAAAAGATTCTTGTAGTCTCTATACTGTACCTGTCTCAGAAGAGTTAACTAGCAGGTACTATGTAGTTACCTCGAAAAATATGCTGCTATGTCCTTCAACAACCTCAGTAAGCATTGCTGATACTAGTCATTAATTTAGAAAAGGCAGAAAGCATGTCTTAAATTAGACTGGAACCCACAAAACGGCAACTTTGGAATAATCACATTTCCTGGTGTGAGCCTGCCACAATGGCAGTGGCGTGAGCAACATAGACATTTTTCCTGGTTAGAACCATTGAGCTCAACCCATTTGGCTCTTGCTTAAGAAAAGGTTAAGTCTAAATAGGATACAGGCTCCAGGCATTCAGTGCACCTCCAAGACACTTCTGAAAAAGCAAGGGACAGCAGGAGCAAGTAAAGGTGATTTTTCTCACAAGTTCTCCCAGGAATCAGCAGAATATGCCAGGTTTTGTTTGCTGGCAATTGAACATTTTGTGCCAAATGGAACATTTGAGAATTTTAGTTTCATTAGGCTTAGTAGAGAGAATTTCAGACATGTATTTAGTATGTTTTCTTAAAGACAATTTGTCATAGAAAAAGAAGCATTGCTTGGAGTTTCAAAGTGGTCTTTGTTACATGTTAGAGTTTTTGACATTTGAATCTAATCTGTCACAACACAGCCAGCCCTATGCGATTTTGCAGGAGTTTAAAATATAATCTGTAAAAAGAAGAAAATATGCAAGAAGGTGGAGAGATAATGTACAAAAGAATATATTCTTTTCTCAGGACCAGACAGCTAAAAGCAGCTCCAGTAGCAGGAATTCAGACTAAAATTTCTGGACAAAAGTAGATGACCCTGGACACTTATTTAGGCTGTATTATCATGAAGAAAATAGGGATTTAAGCATGGTGTCATGATCATATGGTAAATGATATTGCTGTGGAAAATATCTGAACAGATCTGATCTTCTTTTAATAGAGACACAATGGCATTATTGGCTTAGACCTTGGATTACCTGAAGTGCCTGGGATAGCCAAATTTTGCTTATTTTATCTGTTGCCTTCTTGATCTCAAATGACTCTCCTCTTTTATCCTGACATTTTGGTTTTCCTTTATGCTTTACTAGGTTATTAGGAGGGAAAACAATGACTTTTAAAGGCGTCCTATAATGCACCCAACATGTCTTTTTCTGTGCTATGATACTTTTAAGAAACAGATACTTAAGGCAAGAAGAGTCTGCAGTAAAGAAATGAGCTTTGCAGTGACCAGAAGAGCCCAGTCAATATCTCTTGCAACCATTCCTGTATTGTTTAAAATGCTAGAGCATGATATTCTGAGACTGTGACTTTAAATTTCTCAAGCAAATTATAATCTTGTGAATTTAAAAAAGGGAATGACTTTTCAAAAACAACAACAAAAATTATAAAAATAAACTTAAATCTTCTTCATAGAAACTCTGTCAAAGTAGATCCTTTTTTTAGGGAACCTTTTGTATCTCAGAATTAATGCAAATTTACCCCTTCTGATTTAATTATCTTGTTTTCATCTCCCCCAATAAAATATCCCTCTTGGATGATCTGTGATCTCTTCAGACTCCATTTTCTTCTTGTGAACTTTTAATAAGAAAAGCCATTGTAGAAATTATAAGAATTGCACTGCACCTACATAATGACTTCAACAAAATTGCTTTCCAGATAGACTTTCTTCTATGTACATTTTATATCAAAGCTGGTTGATTCAGCTGAAAGACTCCTACCACTCGAGTGTCTTTTAGCTCAGGCTTTTAGACATAAAGGATATCATGATCATGTGCTAGACTACACAGTTCTTTACATTGCCAGCATGGGAAGGTGGTCTAATTCATTGCATTAAAGACACAGGTAAATTAGGTCAACATTAAGAGGTGCTAAAGAAATCTTTGCAACCTCTTTCTTCAGAATACTCCTGAATCTCTTTCAATTCTACACTTTTACTCTGGTATCACTACACAGCTAGTATACTAAATTGCTCAGAAGCAAGCATGCAGACAATGAGATTTACTTCTTTACATCAGTGCTTATTTTTCCAGGGACTGTAGCAGTGAAAGGTTTAGGCACGTTGGAGCACAGTAAGAAGTTTCCAAAGATTCACTAAAGTCAACTCCAAAACAAATAAATGATATTTTCCATTGAGATAGCAGCTATTTCTAGACAAGACCTAAACGTATGCAAATATGTCTCTGAGATGAGAGAATTATAGAATAATTTAAGTTGAAAGTCACCTCTGAAGGTCATGCAGTTCAATCCCTTGTTCAAAGCAGAGCTGGCTTCACAGTTAGGTCAGATTGCCAGCATAGCTCATGTGGTTAAATACAGCAGCATGATCTCTGCAAGGAGTGCTTAAAGTAAGCGAACTGGGACTCTGGTTAAGATTTCACTGAAGCTTTACCATAAACTTGAGGCCTGAATCAAGTATGACCCACATGAGGCCTGAATCCAGTTCTCACTAAAGTCAATGAAACAACTCCCACTGATACTGGTGAGCTTTGGACAGATCCCTTTTTGTCTTCCTCCTGTATCTGTAAAGTAAAGATGACAACAAACTACAAGATAATAATATCTTTCTATTGCTGTTGGATACTGCAAGCATGAATTCAACAAATGTCTCTTGGCTACTTGAATGCTGCTTCTTTTTCCTCCCTTGTCTTCAAAGCCACACTTATATTTAGATTGATCCTTCTAAGGCAGCTATATGGCCCCATTACTGTGAATCTGAACAGCTCACAGCCTTTAATGCTTTTTTTCTCCTAGCACCCCTCTGATGTAGGGATGTTCTATCATCCATGCTTTACTGATAGAGAACAGAGATAGTAAAGCTCAGACTGGTTCCAGTGGGAATAAAATGCCTGCTTACCTTTATATGTGCACATAAATGGCTTGCCCAAGGTCATTTAAGCGGTCTGTGGCAGAGTGCCTGTCCCTATGTTTTGAATTCCAGGTGAGCCTCCTCTGACTTAAATGGAGTTGGGATTTTTTTTTTTTTTTTTTTATGGAATTCAGGGCTGAGTGTAGGGCAGCCATTGGAAAATATAGCAGATTTGAAAAGCAGAAAAAAAAAAATCAGAGTTTAAGTAGCTTTTAACTAAAGGACGTGTAATGGGGCGGGGAGAGGGTGGTGGTGGGGGAAACACTATTATTTAAAAAATAGTTATTGCATAAAAGTGCACTTTTCAAAAGTTCCAGCTGTGCTAAAATGGTTATCACAAGAAAATCCGCTGAGGAAGAGATTACAAGCTTTTATGATGTCCTGCTGGAAGCTCTCTTTGAGATTTCTCAGCCAGTGGAGAATGAATGGTGGAGCTGAGAAAGAAGGTGTTATACTCATCTGGTTTAGCAGCCAGGTTTGGGCTGTTAGACCTGGCAAATGATCAGTGATGTGATAGGAAAGAAGAGTGACACATTTTCAGAACAGTATAGCACAGATATGTAGGGCATGTAGAACAGAGGGGTGGGGGTTCTATTTCAGTGGAAAAGTTCTAGCTCATCTCTTGATAGAACAAGGCAAAACTCTTGTCTTTATAGCAGTAGGGATTTATTTATTGATTTAGTTATTTATTTATTTTCCCCAGCAGGGACAATGTACACAACCTCAGTAAGTTTGGAGTAAGTTGATACAAAATTGGGAAGAGCAGTTTATAGACCAGATGGTTGGGCCAACATTCAGAGGGACATTGACAAGCTGCAGAAATGGGAAAACAGGAACCTCATGAAGTACAAAGGAAATGCAAAGATCTGCACTTGGGTTATGAATAACCCCATCCAACAACACTGGTTGGGGCTGACAAAGGAAAGAGATGGGAGTGCTGGTGGACAACAAGCTAACCATGAGCCAGAAATGTGCCCTTGCAGCAAAGGCAGCCAACAACATCCTGGCATCCAGGGTTGCCTTGGGAAGAGAATCGCTGGATGACAGAAGAAGGTGACCCTTCCCACATACTCTCTGAGAATGTAACACTACGGGAATGCTGGATTGAGTTCTGGACTCTCCACCAGAAGAAAGACATGCACTTACTGGAATAAGTCTACTAAAGGGCTGCAAAGATGAGAAAGGGACTGGACCATCTTTCATATGAGAAGAGGCTTGATAGAGCTGGGAGTGTTCACCCTGGAGAGGAGAAGACAGGGGGATCTGTGATGATGTGAGAGCACAGGGAGACTACAGCTGTGGGGCAGAACCTGGAAAACGAAGTCCTGACTTGAAAGAAAAAATGTGCAGAAATTCCCTTAACATAGGAAGAAGAAATCAGAATTAGGATTAGGCTGGAATTAAAGTGACTTGCTGGGATGTATTGTGTGATTCCTGGTACAGCAGTAAGATCTCCCACCATCTAGAAGGACAAGTTTATGGCTTTAGTGTCATTACAGAGTATGAACCATTGCTATTAAATAATATCACTATTAATAAAACAAAATCCCAATAAACTCTGGGGCAAGAGGGAAATAACAGAAGGATATATCCATTAAAAGCTGCCTGGAGACAAGTCTGTGACATTGAGTGGAGTGGAATGCCAGACCTCTGAAGACACAGCTGGGCTATTTGGCTTCACAACAACCTTGTACTTGTGAAGTTAATCATATTTTTGTGACTAAACCTAGTTTCTCTCCATGATGCTGAGCCGCACGTTGTCAGCTTGCTGGCTATATGTTTGAAGGTCTTTGTGCTACGTTCCATCTTGCTGTTTAGAAAAGCCTTGGTTTATTGATTTCGTATCCATAGCTGAAGCTTTAGGTAGAGGTTAGGATGAACAATGTTCTTTTAGATTTTCAACACTATGACTGACTGTTGACGAAATTAGATTTTCAGTTTATCTCTGACTTGGGCTGGAAAGTGTCAGGTCTCCAAATCTGTCCACAGAGGCTTGGGAGATTGCTGTATTCTGAACAAATATTAAATAGAATTAAGAGGAAAATTAGTGCCTGCCCTTGATCTATTTAGTAAAACATGATGTAGAATGAACTAATGTTGTTATATACAATTATGTTGCACAAGTAAACACTAGAGCATATCTAGAGTTTCTGTCTAGCTACAGTGCCACAGACCTTGGGTGCTATTACTAGAACATACAAAACTCTAACAGTGAAACAGATGTCAGGCTTGATTTGGAACTCCAATTCTAACAAAGGACTAAAATGACTATAACCAAAGAAGCATTTAGAATCTTACTGGGAATGAATAAGACTCTTCTACAAAGTAATATTTGACAACAACATAGAGTTCTACTTTATGAATTTCAGGCAGAGTTTACCTCCTCTTGTAATGGCTTTGTAGTGTGGACAAGTAAAGACCAAGAAGGTCCACGCACAGCACATGCAGAATTGTGGCCTCAGTGCTATATGCAGTATAAATATTCCCTGCAGAATTCAAATGGAAAAGGGCTGGGAGAGGATGAAGACTCACATTGCTGTTCTTATTGTTAGGAAACAGAGGTGGCTTGAGAGGAGCAAGCTGTAGACAGTAAAATTATATCAGGCTAAGATGCCACCCTGTGCAGCCACGCAGGCAGCATGAATCACTTTACTGGAGGAAGCAATTGAAGAAGTTAATACTGCTATCAGGGCAAACAAGTAAAGCTTCCAGATTTTTGCATTGATTAGATATACAGATAGGAGTATATCTAATATACTTATATATATCTAGTATATAGCAATGTACAGGCCAAAAAAAAAAAAAAAAAAAAATCCCCAATCCTATTAAAACCCCAACACATAGGACAGGTTAACTCCAGCACTATAACAACTGATGATGGATCAGGAATATTTTTAGTAGAACCTACCTGTGACCTTGCCCAAGCTGAGTGATTTGATGGCCTTAAAATCAGTCTCAGAAAAGTTATGTTTGAGTTTGAGAACTTGATCAACCTGGAAGAGGTCAATAAAATTAGTTCATTACAACAGCATGCAGACACTCCTAGATCTCTCTGTACTGCAAATTTCTGGGAATGCTCTCAGCTGCAAATCAGTTAATTCTGCCCCCAAGTGTGATTCAGTTGCTAAAGACAGCAGAGCGAATGTGCTTTGATTTTAGCATGAGAAGCTGAAAGGTACACCAGAATAGTCATATAAAGGGCTTTGAAGAAACTTCCCCTGCGGAAAAGCTTAAAATGTTTGACACTGAAATCCCCCTACTTCCCGAAATTCATGTGTGCTCACTTCAGAATACACTCAAAGGAGGTCTCTCTAGAAATGTATTGTCAAGAATTAGTTCAGCACAGAAGAAAACCACAGCGCAGCAGACAATAGAAGTCTGGTACTTGAAGAAAACCCTGGCTTTTAGCATAAGCCTCCTTCCTAGACAATCAGCCCTATCTACCTTAGTTGCATACCGACTGTGTTATCATTTTACCACCAGACATGGAAATGGCAAAGAAAAACTGTGGTGCTCCTTGTGTTTCTGTCTCCTCATTCTATTCCTTAACACAAAGATTCTCTTCAGACTATGTCACCCTTTCCTTTTCAATGACTCCCATCCAGATCTAGCCAATTTGTTTTCTGATGTGAACTGTTATATTTAGCCTCAAAAGGAAAGCAGAAGGAGAAGTAAGATGGTCCTCCTCTTCCTGCCTTGGATAAACAGGCTATGCAGGGAAACAAGGCAGAGGGAGGGTTCTTGTCTCTCATGAGGTTATCACAATCTGCATGGCTTGCTGCTAGCAGAAATACAGGGCATCATCATGGTGGCTGCACCCTGCATTCCTTCAGCTTTTTCTTTTCTGTGGCAGGATAAGGCAGCTGGGGTCATGCTCTCCCTTGGGTAGATGCCCTAAATTAAATTACATTCTGAGGTGCTCATTCCTCAGCTGTTTTTCTCCCTGTGGCATCTTTTTAATGATCCATACTGTGTGCTTCCTCTGGAACTACAGGTCACACAGACACTCCTAAGCCCCAGAACCACTCCAATGGTACAGATTAACTTCTGTCCAAAGATGTTTCCTAATTCACAGACTGTCAGAGACAAGGGAAGGATCAGTCAAAAGAAAACATCATGGTTAGACAGTCTTTGAAACAAGGTCTGGATGGAGCTTCAGTCTAACCTACATGGCTGTTCTGCTGCTAGGCCAGCTTTGGTTGCACCAGGTCAATGTGAAACCTTTGTCTCCTGCTGGTGATCAGGCATTGAAATCAACAGGTCTGAGCCATGGATACCTGAATGATGAGCTCTCTGCCTTCTCTATTAATCTTCACGTGGTGAAGCTCTCGGTTGGCAAAATTTCCAGAGTCAATGGTGAAAATGAGAAGCCCATCCTTACTCAGCTTGTATCGGACCTGTAAACTTCCTTAAAAAAAGAGCAAAATTCTATGCATAAAACCTGTGTCAGTAATGAGATACTGTTCAGTACCTTTACACAACATATAACTCATTTTCTTTTTATTGCAGTGGAGTAACAAGGTTAAAAAGTCAAGAAAGCAGTTGAAGAGAAATGAAAGAGTTCAAACTGTAAATAAAAGTGTGAAAAAAAAAAATGCACTGTAAGAGTTTTCCTTCCTAGCAGCTAACAAACTCTGCTATGGCAAAATATAACTTAATTGAGTAACTAAGTATATAAAAGGAGAGTGTATCTGTGCAGGTCCGACATTTAGCACTGCCACAAAAGCTGATCTACATTAGTCTGCTAAGGATTACTTCCACCAGAGGGCATGCAGGTCTTGCACTGTTCTATTAGACTGATACTAGTGGATTTTGCTATTCCTTTTCATCAAGATGTAACAGACAATAAAGAAGACAATGACAACTGTGAGAATTGTAACTTAATTTCAAACATTTAAAGGCTCAGACTCATAATTCATATGCAATACAAGAAAAGATATATTGTAAATGATTATACAGAGAAAAATATTTTTACTTCGGTATGCTAACATATTTGAAGAAATAAGTATAATTCACATAAAATTGGATGCCAAACGTACCTTTTTGTCTTTGTATATAAAAAAGGTATTGTTACTTCTGATAAATAACAGTACCATAACAGATCAAAATGTACAAGAAAACAAGGAACCTGATATCAATTTTAAACCTCCTATGAATGACTACAGGAAAAAAAAAAATAAAGATATATATACACACAAGTATATATATAATTTAAAATGAAAATAATTTATTCTGATAAAATCCCTTTAATTTTACTTTTCTGGGAATTAAGTAGCAAGGAGAAAAGATTCTCAGAACTTACAGAGCTCTTTTTATACATCAGCAAACAAAATACATGGAACATGTGGTACCATGGGGTTAAAAGGTTTTCTGGGGTTATTTTGGAACTGTGTCCAAGGAGGAAACGAATGCTGATAGCACCACAACCCTAAGGAAAGTATATTTCATTTATTCCCTGTTTGCCTTCACTACATAGTGTGGACTTACCTGCTCCCTTCAGCCTTCAAGTCTTCCCTCAGTAAGGTCAGCTCTGTTGTTCTACGAGCTACTGTAAAACCACTTTGTAAAAAAGCTTAAAACAATGTAAGAATTTCCTGCAGAGGGGGAATTTTGGCACCTCTGCACACCTCACAGTAAAGTTGGTAGTCCTTCCAGACTGGACTCAGAGCCCAGTTAAGATCATCCCTCCTCCTTTTCCCCGACCAAGATGTTTGGCTGCTCACACTCCTAAGATCTGCACTTGTAACATTCAGTATACCCCAGATGAACAATGCTGCTCTCTGAGCTGTGGAGGGTAGAAACAATGTTTCCCAAAATTAAAGGGAAAATGAGTCAGGTGAAGTCTTTTTAGGTGATTGAGAGGGCTGATGGAGCAGGTGAGCTTTTCAAGTGAAAGAAAAAAAAAGGCAAGCATTTACTTTCTCACACACAGTCATGGATGTCAGAGAGGAATGTGTGAAGAGCTCAAGGTCAGTAACAACTGCTAAATTATTCACTGTGATATTACAGGTCCTGATTCAGTTGCCCTGAATCATGCTGCAAAACTCCCATCCCCTCATTGCATAACCAGGACAAGGAGCTAGTATCTGTCACCATTAATGCCACACTGAGAGGTCCAAACTTAATGCCATTTTCTGGTACTGAATGAAAGATGCATCAACAAGGAATAACAGTGTAAACCCTCTACAATCACTTTAGTCCAGAAAGACACAAGAAAAGAGGCCCAAGTGCAAGGAATTTAAGGGACCTTCTTCAGACTTGCTCATTAATTCAGTGGGAGAGTTGATAAAAAAATAGAAAGGTTACCTGACCCTGCACACAACAGCTGAGATTACCACACAGAATAAGCTGAAACCAAGCTGTGATAATTTAACAGGTTGGTTCAAACTAAAAATCATGTCCCAACAGAAATACTTAGGCTGCCTCTTACCCCAAGTCTTTGAAAAAGGCATAAAATGTGAGAAAAAGGAATAGGACCTAGATTTGGTCTGTGACCTTATGCTGGTTGCTTAGTTTGTAAATATGAGAAAACATCTCTGCTCTTTTTGAGTGCTAAGAACACATCAATATATAAAATATAAACAGTGCTACTGTATCTAAAAGGTCAACAAAGAGAGCTAGCAGACATGCAGTTTTTCTAAGTTCTCAGCTGCTGCCAACAGGGGTTTCCACATTGACTTCATCAGAGAAGCACTGATTTTAAACCAGAAACTGTCTGTTCCATTTGTTGGGAGATATGGAGGAGGTTCTTGATATCCATTAAGAACAAATCTTACTTTCTATAGTGGAACAATTTTACCTTAAATCATTTAAAGAGATCAGTGAAAAGCATCTTCTTTTATCAAATTGCTTTGTATTCCAATGACAACTCTTTTTTGATGACTGCTCTTCAAAACCATTGAATTCAAGCTGGCAATTTCACTGGGGTCAAATTTTCATTAATATAAACCATGGACATGGACTCATGTCTCCAGAGGTTGTTTTGAAATTCACAGCAGTTTAGGATTATAAGACTGAGAGCTGATTTTGACTTGCATTCAGTACCAAAACGTGTTCTGTTTTCAGAGTACAGAATAATTTGTCTGGCAGATTACATTGCCATTTTGCTACTTGACAGACAAAATAAATGGATTATTAATTAGAATTGTTATTAAGAGGGTTTTTTTTCCCTCTGATTTTTTGATTATCTGGTCCACTGACTTTCACCACTACCTCGGGCCGGTATCACTATCTGCAAATAAAAATCTGTGCATAAACCATCTCTATTCTCCTTATTCTCTATTCTCTTTCTGTTTTGCATCATTTTTACCTCACACTAGGGATTCGCACTAATCATGAGTAGTGTAATTTCTGCCAGGCTTGTTGCAGTTATGCCTGTCATCCTCTTTTCAGCTCCCTGGGTCTGAGCGTGCACACCTGGAGTGCCACAACGCCCAAGCAACGCACTGCCTGTTGTGTTTTCTTCCTTCTCTAATGTATGTGGAATTGCTGGAGGCAATTTCTATTATGTCCATGAAAGAGGAAGGGAAGGAAAGAGAGAAGTATCATGTTTTTTGCCTTGGGCTAGAAAATTTTACTGGGTGTATTACCCCGGTGGTTTTAGGTAAGAGTAGATTTCCGCTTAACTATTATAGCCATCCCTTTTAGCTTCAAATTCTGCAGACTGCAGATCAGCATGGAGATGTGCTGTTCTAGCTACAGAACAGCCCAAAAGCCTAGCAGGCACACTTTAGCCACAGCGTTACAGAGCACAGTGTGATCTCCCTTCGTCACTTCTGGAGGAAATGAGTCCACACGGCCTCACATGCTACTGGGATGAGACCGCTGCTGGTATCCAAGCTGGCTTGCTACACATCACTGTGCTCTTCAGTCTGTAATCTGCAATAGTATAATCCATGACTGTAAAGCTGAATGACATCTCTGCTGATACAAAACAGCTATAGACCCGTTTTAACAGTGTTCCTGGGAATCTCGTGGTGCAGAGGAGAGTTCTGGGAAATAGAGAGCAAAGGGCAATACTTATGCCATTCCATGCTGGTGACTAGGCTGGGGATAACTTTTCTGAAACAAAACACTCCCAAGACACTCTTCCAGTGGTGATGGAGAACACGGTTAGTACTTGCTGGCAGTACACTAGTGATGAGCGTAACCAACCCCCAGGCAGCGACAGGAATAACATGATGCCTTTAAACTACTTTTATCTTTTTGCTGAGGGCAAGAAAGATGTAATAGCAGCTCTTACATCTAGTGGTAGTAAGGACATTAAACTGGTTAGAGATTTCAAATTGTTCAGCCTGAAGAAGAAAAAAATAGTCCCAGACAGCAGAGTGTGAAGAAGTACCTTGATCACAATGTTATACATTCTATGTTACATATTCTAATTCTTTTCTGATTGAATATGTCAACAACAGAGTTGTCTTTCTTGTGCCTGTGTCTACAGCAGTGCCTGAGTGGAATGTCAGAAACATCTGGTGGCTTTGTGGCCTATGCTCACTAACTTTACATTAATTCTGGGAGGCCAAAGCTTGTATTGAAAATCAGATGGCAAATTTTAAATCATCAGCTGGAAAAGGGAGCACAGGAGAATGTTGCAGAGAGTGTTCTAGCTCAGTGAAAAGACCTCCTGGCTTGAAAGATCTCACCCTATGCTAGATATTTGGCAAAAAGGTTAAAGCAGTTCTGTAGAAAATAAACCAAAAAAAATGGATACCAGGAATCTGCTCTACAGATCCATCATTCATACCCAAGTTTCTTGTTATACGTCACCAGCACCACAGGTCTTGTGTCACTTAGTCTTGAAGAACAAAACAGCAATGAAGGGGATGAGATGCCCTGGGAGAATGAAACTTCTCTGCAGGACCTTCATTTACAGAAACTGGTTTTAAATGAGCCCAGATTGGACCCAACATCTCCACCAACTTCAATAGCACTTTTTAATGATTTAAACTGGCTGAAGCACCTGGCAGGACATCTTGCACTGTTTAGAGAAGCTGAGGTTAGTTCAAGGAGCACATGTAGATAGCACACGTAAAACGTACAACTTTATCATCATCACATAACTTCATGAAAAATTATTTAAATCAGGGAAGCTAACAACTGTGATTTGGGAATAATGTGTACGTATAAAATAATGGAGCACTGCATTAAAGAAGAGGGCTGTGGAAAACCCCTGCATGTCCTGTTTTCTCAATCAGCCAGAAACAAAGGAGTTTAGGACCAACAGAACCTCTTACCCCTGTCTCTAACCAGCAATCACCCTCATCAGACTGTAAGATACTAACTACACCACTGCATCCACCCTCAGCACTCACCTGAGCTATAGCTAAAAAAGAAAATAATTGAAGAAGGCATCAACTAAACAAAGGGTGGAATATGTTAGTGAGGCTATTGATGTTGCTATTATGAAAA